GATGGTGCCCTCTAATGTGGTGCTAGAGGGGGAGAACGACGCCGACTTCAGGGTACACCTACGTGTGGAGGTTAGGGACAGCGTCTATACGGTAGGTGGGGGGGGGGGGGGTAGGGACAGCGTCTACACGGTAGGTGGGGGGGGGGGGGTAGGGACAGCGTCTATACGGTAGGTGGGGGGGGGGGGGTAGGGACAGCGTCTACACGGTAGGTTGGGGGGGGGGGTAGGGGCAGCATCTACAGGGTAGGTGGGTGGGGGGGTAGGGACAGCGTCTACACGGTAGGTTGGGGGGGGGGGGTAGGGACAGCGTCTACACGGTAGGTGGGGGGGGGTAGGGACAGCGTCTACATGGTAGGTGGGGGGGGGGTAGGGACAGCGTCTACATGGTAGGTGGGGGGGGGTAGGGACAGCGTCTACATGGTAGGTGGGGGGGGGGGTAGGGACAGCGTCTACATGGTAGGTGGGGGGGGTAGGGACAGCGTCTATACGGTAGGTGGGGGGGGGGGTAGGGACAGCGTCTATATGGTAGGTGGGGGGGGGGGGTAGGGACAGCGTCTATATGGTAGGTGGGGGGGGGGGGTAGGGACAGCGTCTATATGGTAGGTGGGGGGGGGGGGTAGGGACAGCGTCTATACGGTAGGTGGGGGGGGGTAGGGACAGCGTCTACACGGTAGCTGGGGGGGGGGGGGTAGGGACAGCGTCTATACGGTAGGTGGGGGGGGGGGTAGGGACAGCGTCTACACGGTAGGTGGGGGGGGGGGGGTAGGGACAGCGTCTATACGGTAGGTGGGGGGGTAGGGACAGCGTCTATACGGTAGGTGGGGGGGGGGGTAGGGACAGCGTCTATACGGTAGGTGGGGGGGTAGGGACAGCGTCTACACGGTAGGAGGGGGGGTAGGGACAGCGTCTACACGGTAGGTGGGGGGGGGGTAGGGACAGCGTCTATACGGTAGGTGGGGGGGTAGGGACAGCGTCTACATGGTAGGTGGGGGGGGGGGGGGTAGGGACAGCGTCTATATGGTAGGTGGGGGGGGGGGGTAGGGACAGCGTCTATACGGTAGGTGGGGGGGGGGTAGGGACAGCATCTACACGGTAGGTGGGTGGGGGGGGTAGGGACAGCGTCTACACGGTAGGTGGGTGGGGGGGGGTAGGGACAGCGTCTACATGGTAGGTGGGGGGGGGGGGGGGTAGGGACAGCGTCTACATGGTAGGTGGGGGGGGGGGGTAGGGACAGCGTCTATACGGTAGGTGGGGGGGGGGGTAGGGACAGCGTCTATACGGTAGGTGGGGGGGGGGCGACAAGAACGACTCATTCGGTCTATTTTATTTATCTGGATTAATCAATAAGGCTTGGGTAAGACTAATCCGCTATTTTTTATCGGAGGGGGGGGGGGGGGGGTTGAACAGTCTCAGTTAAGTTATAACTGTGTAGCAGGAAGGCATTATTTTTATTTAGCACTTTATTAAAGTTTTAATTAGCATCTTTATTAAATTAAGTTTTTGATTAGCATCTTTATTAAATTAAGTTTTTAATTAGCATCTTTATTAAATAAAGTTTTGATTAGCATCTTTATTAAATTGCACTTTAAATAAATGTTGACATAAAAATGTCCCCCCCCCCCCCAGAGACCCCATGTGTTCCACCCCGACATTAAGATCAACACGAGCGACCCCAAGAACCCCCAGTTCGAGCACCCCGTCATCGAGTTTGTCAACGGTTCCCTGCCCTACGGCATGGAGTTTGTCGTCATCCACACCAACGCCTTCTACGTCAACGAGGACCGCTACATCTGCGTCAACGACCTGCAGAGCCTGGAGGATGAGAACCGGATACACTTCGACGTGAGTACATCAAGATCACGTCGGTGTCACGTCAGTGTCACGTGTGTGTCACATAAGAGGCTAGCTGTCACATAGGTCTACACATTTCTATTTGTAACAGTAAATTACGTGTTAAAGGGGAACGTCAACATGTCAGGTTTGGGGGGGGGGGGGGAGAGGGCGGGGTTGTGGGGGTGGACAACTGACCCACCTAATCAACAACCGTACGAGTCACTTGCCCTTCTTTACCTCGGGTCACGGGGTCACCGCGACCTAATGACATTTTAATTAACTTTTCTGGTTAATTATTTCCTAGATCCTGTTGAAACGAGTTGTTTTTTAAAAAAACTTGAGCGAAATTCACAAACAAAATAAAAATATGGGGGTCTGACGCTATATAACCGCAGGGTCTAGTGACCATATAGCCCCAGGGTTTAGTGACCATATAGCTTCAGGGTCTAGCCCCAGGGTCTAGTGACCATATAGCCCCAGGGTCTAGTGACCATATAGCCCCAGGGTCTAGTGACCCTATAGCCCCAGGGTCTAGTGACCATATAGCCCCAGGGTCTAGCCCCAGGGTCTAGTGACCATATAGCCCCTGGGGTGAGGGCCCTACTTAACGCCCCTGGGACCACCAGGACCGTAGTGAGCCAGATGCTCGCATCAGTGACAACAGGAAGTGAAAGAGCAGGGGCCATAACTTCACTGTCAAGGGCCATAACTTTACTGTCAGCAGACGTACAGCCGATGACAGACGTGAAATGTGAATCAACAAAATAAACCGCCCCCCCCCCCCACATTGTACTTTAGGTGGTTTCTATGTGTGTAGGGTCACTGCCCCGTAGGGAGGTGGTCTAGTGGGTAGCGCTGTTAGGGTTATCAAAGTATTGCATTGGTCAAATACTTTCTGGGGACAGCGGTGGCTCAGTTTATTGCGTGATAAGCCCCGCCCCTTTACACACACGACGACTGTCTCCATATTTTGACCCTCCCCCCCCCCCTCCCCCAAACTCGTGCCTAAAAAACTAAACTAGAATGTATAAAATATGTCTGACTTTGAACCTTTGAATAATTATTTTTTTTATAAACACAATCAGCCCGTCAACTCAACAAAAAGGATTCACTTTGAAGTAAGATGAGCACAACACCGTATAACAGAGCACTAAAACAACAACGTATAACAGAGCACTAAAACAACGTATAACAGAGCACTAAAACAACAACGTATAACAGAGCACTAAAATAACAACGTATAACAGAGCACTAAAAACAACAACGTATAACAGAGCACTAAAAACAACAACGTATAACAGAGCACTAAAACAACAACGTATAACAGAGCACTAAAACAACAACGTATAACAGAGCACTAAAACAACAACGTATAACAGAGCACTAAAAAATAAACATCGTATAACAGAGCACTAAAAACAACAACGTATAACAGAGCACTAAAACAACAACGTATAACAGAGCACTAAAACAACAACGTATAACAGAGCACTAAAAAATAAACATCGTATAACAGAGCACTAAAAACAACAACGTATAACAGAGCACTAAAAACAAACAACGTATAACGGAGCACTAAATCAACAACGTATAACAGAGCACTAAAACTACAACGTATAACAGAGCACTAAAAAATAAACATCGTATAACAGAGCACTAAAAACAACAACGTATAACAGAGCACTAAAAACAAACAACGTATAACAGAGCACTAAAACTACAACGTATAACAGAGCACTAAAAAACAACGTATAACAGAGCACTAAAAGCAACAATGTATAACAGAGCACTAAAAACAACAACGTTTAACAGAGTGATATAACAGTCTCAAACCACAAGAGAACAACTCACAAACCACGTGCACAGAGAACAACTCACAAACCACGTGCACGCATGTTGTGGGAGCTCACGCTCTGACTGTTCACAACAACAGTTCCATGTGTGGTGTTGTGTTGTGTGTTCAGTCTTGTTCAAGTCTCAACTATGACAGTTCACAAAGTTGACTTTAGATAGAAATACTTCACCAATGTAAACAATGTGTTTTATTTAGTTCATTAATGCTTGACTTAATTCTATTAAACACACATGACGTCATCTGCACGTAACTGCACTTGCTAATTACTGACCATCGTAACTTAATTATAACCCAAACTTGATTAGCACCACCAAGTGGTTACCAGCATGTAACACACATCTTTGAAACATCTTTGACACATCTTTGAAACATCTTTGAAACATCTTTGAAACATCTTGAAATATCTTCGAAACAACTTTTACACATCTTTGGAACATCACCCATCGCTTCAAACTACGGATCCACCATCAAATAATAATAGATTCACAGATTAACACAATAACGTTAAATAAAACATCACAGTATTGTTTAATGAATAAGACATCAGCAATTAATTAGATCAGCTAAAGTCTGCTGTGTGTCTGAATTAATTAATTTCATCAAACGTTTTTAGAAGTAAAATGTAAAATGAAAAACAAAAATGTTCTCTGATAAAATTCTAACAGTGTTTACACTGACTTAGAGCACAGTTTTACACTGAACATATTGATCTAAATGTTTTCAGAAATAAATTTTCTAACAAGTATCCCCCCCCCCCCAGGTGATCCTGAAGGACAAACTAGCAGAGACCCACTACGTGTCCAACCAGCTCCCCTTCGTGGTGGAGATCGAGTACCCCGTGAGGGAGGCGCACCCCAAGGCGGCGCTGTTTGCTGGGGTGCTGGTACTCATCATACTGGCCGTGTCGCTGCTCATCCCATTCGTCGTCCGCGCCAAACGGAGGTCTAAGGCCGGCAAACCCATCTTTGGCTGCGGCTCAGCGGAGGAGGGTGGGGATACGGAGAGTAACGGTAAGGTTCAGTCTGTTGTGGGTGTGTGTGTGTGTGTGTGTGTGGGGGGGGGGGGGGGGTTAAAGTTAGGGTTAAGGTCAATTTGGGGGGGGGGGCGTGTAAGAGTAACTGTAAGGGTTAGTCTGTCGTGTGTGTGGGTGGGTTAATCCTTGTGGTGTTGAGGATAAAGATTAGGGTTAAGCCATTGATTTAAAAATAGAACAATAGGATGTAGAAGGGGAGAAGTATACAGAGATCGGCAAGAGGGGGGGGAGTGTGTGTGTTGGGGGGGGGGGGGGGAAGGGGTGAATGTATACAATAGAGCCAGTCTCTGGGTTTTGTGATCTACTACGGGGTGACCCCCCCCCCCCCCCCGGGTGACTGACCTCTGGCAGCAGATGGACACTGTTCGAGTTTTTCGTCAACAGAACCTCGCTTAAAGCTCAACCACAATGAGAAAATCTCCCCTCCCCTCCCCCGCCCCCCCCCCCCCTTGATGACGTAGAAAAGCTGCGGCGGCAGACGCTGGAGGAACGTGCAACAATGTGTTCACCAAGATGGCCGCCGTGCGAGCGGGGCGACTTGTTGACTCAACTAATGGATATTTTGTTTCAACTTGAGAAGGTTAACGAGCGTGCTAAGAGAGGCTCTGACCTCTGACCTTTACAGACCAGGTCCCGTCAGCCAGATGGACCTCGATGTTTGCCTAGCTTGGCCGCGCCGTGACGTGTGGTAGTGTCAAGTTTGCCGTGTGGTAGTGTCAAGTTTGCCGTGTGGTAGTGCCAAGTTTGCCGTGTGGTAGTGTCAAGTTTGCCGTGTGGTAGTGCCAAGTTTGCCGTGTGTTAGTGTCAAGTTTGCCGTGTGTTAGTGCCAAGTTTGCCGGCCCAAATGTTATCAGTTGGAGTCCCAGACAAAAGCCGTGGTTTTCTAACGGGATTTCCCTAAGCCAACTCTGAGGTCAGGAGGTCAGGAGGTCAAATCATGGAGTATGGGAGATGTCGCAGCCACAGCTGCAGATCGACTCTACTTCATCTACTAACCTTCCTAACTGTAGTCTTTTAATTTTTTTGAAGCAACTTTGGGGGAGGGGGGGGGAGGTAGGGGGATGTGAAAATGATGGGGTCAAGAGATCAAGGGCCCAACACAACTTTGATCCCAAGCGTCTGTTTTTGAGCTCATAAGTTGATTGAAAGCCATGTTTGTGTTGTGAGCTAATGGGAGCTAAACCCACACGATATATGTGTGTGTGTCATTATTTTGTCACAAATTATATGTGTCATCAGTGTGTCACATGCTAATGTCCGCTTTGAATGGTTGTGTAGGACAATTTGATCCAATGTATTTTTGTTTCGGCACGTTTTCAGCTGGTCACGTGACTAAAGTTGGACCAATCAATGTGATTGGCTCATCGACCACTAGCTGGCCTCGTCACCCCCACCATTCGTCACATGTGACGGCCAAATCACCCCCGGCCGGGGACGATTTTGAAACGTTACGTCATTTCCTGGGTCAAACCCACTCTCGTCACAGCGACTGGTGTGGCCCTAGGGTCCGACCCCACCACCCCACCCCAACAGGTCGAGCTGACGACCCACGGGCCTTGAGTTCCCCGGCACTGAGTAAACATCGCTTCCTCCATAGCCTAGCTGTCGTCGGGTTGCGTTTAGATTACAGATAATTGCTTTCGTAATTAGTATGTAATCAGTGTGTAATCAGTGTGTAATCAGTATGTAATTAGTGAGATTATTTATGTCTGGAGCAATTATTTGAACGGTAAGAAAGTAGCTGGGATGTTGTGTAGCTGGGATGTTGTGTAGCTGGGATGTTGTGTAGCTGTGTTGGGTGTGGGTTGGCGTCTCGGTCTTGTTTACATCTAGAGGTGACGATCATGGGTGGCCTGGTGGCCTGGGGGGGGGGGGGGGCGAGTGATGGGGGATGGGGAGATGACTATTTTGGTCGCATGTGACCTGTTCACAGTTGCCTGTTGAGGTTTGTTTATTTTGGCCGAGGGAGGGGGGGGGGGGAGGGAGAAGAAAGTGGGGGGGGGGGGGGGGAGAAATTATCCCTCTTCACTAACCACCACATCCATGATCAAATGCATGTTTTATTGTATGTGCAGCAAATTAAATAGGAATGCAATTAGCTTATGTATATGTAGCTAATTATTATACGTTTGTGCAACTCATTAGCTTTTGTATGTGCAGCTAATTAGCGTAAATATATATATATATATATATATATATATATATATATATATATATATATATATATATATATATATATATATGCAGCTAACTAACGTAAGTATATGAATTTAATTAACATATGTTTATGACACAATATAATCTCAGATGTCATGTGCACTTGCTGCAATGGTTCATATTTGGGCAAAAAATCTCTACCCCACCTCCCCCCACTTCCCCACCTCCTCTCACTCCCCCACCTGTCCTACTGCAACTCCCACACCCCCACCTACTCCCACTCCCACTTCCACTCCCCCACCCGCTCCCACTCCCCCACCTCACCCTCACCTTAGCCTTGTAATTACATCCCACCGTCCTGTGTTGTATTAAAGTAGATATCACTGTTGTTATAACACATGTTTAAAACGACTTGAGAATGCTTTGGTCATTGCATGCTGTACATATCTAACCAACTTTAGTCAAGTAGAATGTATTTTTAGAACTTTTAGTGTTCAGTTGTATTTGTTTTTCAACACACACAAACAAACAGCCGCTAACACACACACAAACTTATCAACACAAATATAAACTTTAGACAGAAGTTGTCAAGTTAAACACAATGTAGCCGGACCTTATTAAAAGTAATTAATTCAGCTTCTAATAATTTGACTATAAATAATTAACTTGTCTGTTAATCGATCACAAAAACTTAACGAAGCTAATTATCAAACGTTGATTACGCCATGATTAAAAAGTTCCGCCATTTTGTCCCCACTAGGCATCATCCCAGACCACGGCAAGCAGAGGGTCATGTCCATTGGCGGCAAGGAGAACTTGGCTATGATACTGGACAACGGTCGCTATATGCACCAGAGGTAGGTCACAGTCTAGTCACAGGTCACCACATGTCACCACATGTCACCACATGTCTCCACATGTCACCACAAGTCACCACAAGTCACCACTTATTCCCACAAGTCACCATATGTCACCACTCTACCCCACAAGTCACATGTCACCACTCTACCCCACAAGTCACCACATGTCACCATATGTCACCACTCTACCCCACAAGTCACCACATGTCACCACTCTACCCCACAAGTCACCACATGTCACCATATGTCACCACATGTCACCACATGTCACCACAAGTCACCACATGTCACCACAAGTCACCACATGTCACCACTCTACCCCACAAGTCACCACAAGTCACCACATGTCACCACAAGTCACCACTCTACCCCACAAGTCACCACTCTACCCCACAAGTCACCACACTATTCTCAATATTCTTGTGTCCTACAACTAACTCTGACGTCACTCCTCCCCCCCCCCCCCCAGGCCCAGCGTGGACCAAAACACGACCATCCAGAACCGGATGTTGAGATCCACATCCAGCATGGTGTTCCAGCCCCACTGGATGGACCCCCACTACAGCGACGTCTACGAGAGACCAGACTACAGCCACATGCCCGCCCACATGCCCGCCCACATGCCCGGCCATATGCCCACCCATATGTCCCTGCACATGCCCCTACAGGGCCCGAGGGTGTCTCAAGACGGGAGCGACAGCACCAGTAGCGACACCTACCCCCCCAACTTCAACACCAACCTCCACACGCGGACAGGCGACACCAGCACCGGCCGCACGGCCAACGGTGACGTCACTACAGACGCCGGTGCAGACGACACGGATAAAGTTCGCGACGAGAAGTTGTGACGTAGCGGAGGTCTAAACTCTCAGCCCGGTACCAGCTGTTGAGCAAGTGACGACAATGTAACTGTCTATAATAAACTTCTGACCAACTGACGACAATGTAACTGTCTATAATAAACTTCCGACCAACTGACGACAATGTAATTGTCTATAATCAATTTCTGACCAACTGACGACAATGTAACTGTCTATATCGATCCATCCTACCGGCGAACAAAAAATGGCGTCCTTGACTAAAGATGACCTACTTTTAACGGACATTTTATGTGATGATTTGGGGAGTTAACTTAAAACCTAAATGAGTCATATAAAAATACGAATCGAGGGGAGGGGGGGGGGGGGGGAAGGCAACTTATAATGGAAAGAAAACATGAACAAAATTGTGTTGTAACATTCAGATTTACAACTTGCAACTTTTGATCGCTGACTAATTGGTTTGACGTTTATTGATCACGTTTTACCTCCCAAGATCCATTTCAAACGACTTTTGCCCAACACGATGTAGAATATGACGTCACTCCCCTAACTTAGGCCAAGCTACACTGGACTAGCGTTTGCCCTACAATGCTGTAAATAGCTCTACGACTGTGATTTCAACAAAATTCTGAATGAAATTTTGAAACTGTTGCAATATTTCATTCCAGAGACACTGTGATGAAAAAAAAGTGAATTCTTTTTGTACAAACAATGTAGCCACGCCCACTTTATTCCCCGTGGGTGGTGGGGCTAGGACGGGGAGTTTATTTATGGATTTTACACTTCATGCTTAATTAAATGGAGCAATTATTAATGATGTAATTATAATTGATGCAATTATAAATGATACAATTGTAAATAAAGTAATAATTATTACTGTCAGTTTATTCATGTACATTGAACTGATTTGATTGAAGCATTTTATTCCCCTTGATTGGCCATACATGTAATTGTAAGCTGAGTCATTAATTATCCTAGATCAGTTTCATTTGAAGCGAAAAAAAATTTTTTTTAAATATTTGTTCGCTTTTTTTACACGTTATCATTATATTTATTGCAATCAAGAGTTTAATTCGTGTGAATTTTAATTAGCATGGATCTGTAATTAGTGTGAGCTTAATTAGCGTTTACAAGAAAAAATAATTTTCTAGTTTGATTGAGAGACTAATTCAATAAAACGAATGTATGACGATTGTTTGCATAATGTATGACGATTGTTTGCTTGTATGTATGTATGTTATGACTTGTGTGCTTGTATGTATGTATGTTATGACTTGTATGTCTGCAGATGTTATGAGAGAAAATTAATAAAGTCAGTCAACATTCGCGTGTTGCTGTTTCACTTGTATTTCCTTTTGCTGCCGTGTAGAGGTGGTGGGCGGTTCAACTACATCACGTGATGCTCTCGTTGTTCATATCCAGCATCTGTTTAGACACATCGAGCAGGTTCAATGACTGGCCCATCAACTTCACTGGAAGCCAAACACAAACTGCCCCAACCTGTCCCCAACCTTTAGACCACCATCCCTCCTATCACTTTACTTAACCCAGCTGCACTTACCCCACTCAACACAAACCAGATTTAGACCAAACTGCCCCAAACTCTCCCCAACCTTTAGACAACCATCCCTCCTATCACTTTACTTAACCCAGCTGCACTTACCCCACTCAACACAAACCAGATTTAGACCAAACTGCCCCAAACTCTCCCCAACCTTTAGACAACCATCCCTCCTATCACTTTACTTAACCCAGCTGCACTTACCCCACTCAACACAAACCAGATTTAGACCAAACTGCCCCAAACTCTCCCCAACCTTTAGACCACCATCCCTCCTATCACTTTACTTAACCCAGCTGCACTTACCCCACTCAACACAAACCAGATTTAGACCAAACTGCCCCAAACTCTCCCCAACCTTTAGACCACCATCCCCCCTATCACTTGACTTAACCCTGCTGCACGTACCCCACTCAACACAAACCAGATTTAGACCAAAATGTCCCAAACCTTTAGACCACCATCTCCCCTATCACTTTACTAAACTCAGCTGCACGTACCCCACTCAACACAAACCTTTAGACCAGCCATCCCCCCTATCACTTTACTTAACCCAGCTGCACGTACCCCACTCAACACAAACCAGATTTAGACCAAAATGTCCCAAACCTTTAGACCACCATCTCCCCTATCACTTTACTTAACCCAGCTGCACGTACCCCACTCAACACAAACCAGATTTAGACCAAACTGCCCCAAACTCTCCCCAACCTTTAGACCACCATCCCCCCTATCACTTGACTTAACCCTGCTGCACGTACCCCACTCAACACAAACCAGATTTAGACCAAAATGTCCCAAACCTTTAGACCACCATCTCCCCTATCACTTTACTAAACTCAGCTGCACGTACCCCACTCAACACAAACCTTTAGACCAGCCATCCCCCCTATCACTTTACTTAACCCAGCTGCACGTACCCCACTCAACACAAACCAGATTTAGACCAAAATGTCCCAAACCTTTAGACCAGCCATCCCCCCTATCACTTTACTTAACCCAGCTGCACGTACCCCACTCAACACAAACCAGATTTAGACCAAAATGTCCCAAACCTTTAGACCACCATCTCCCCTATCACTTTACTTAACCCTGCTGCACGTACCCCACTCAACACAAATCAGATTTAGACCAAAATGTCCCAGTTGCTCCACCACATACAAAACAAAAATATTTTGAACAGAGTTGTAAGCTGTAAATACAACATGGGTATACAATACAGGTTTAGAATAGTTGTAAGCTGTAAATACAACATGGGTATACAATACAGGTTTAGAATAGTTGTAAGCTGTAAATACAACTTGGGTATACAATACAGGTTTAGAATAGTTGTAAGCTGTAAATACAACTTGAGTATACAATACAGGTTTAGAATAGTTGTAAGCTGTAAATACAACTTGGGTATACAATACAGGTTTAGAATAGTTGTAAGCTGTAAATACAACTTGGGTATACAATACAGGTTTAGAATAGTTGTAAGCTGTAAATACAACTTGAGTATACAATACAGGTTTAGAATAGTTGTAAGCTGTAAATACAACTTGAGTATACAATACAGGTTTAGAATAGTTGTAAGCTGTAAATACAACTTGAGTATACAATACAGGTTTAGAACAGTTGTAAGCTGTAAATACAACTTGGGTATACAATACAGGTTTAGAATAGTTGTAAGCTGTAAATACAACATGGGTATACAATACAGGTTTAGAACAGTTGTAAGCTGTAAATACAACTTGGGTATACAATACAGGTTTAGAATAGTTGTAAGCTGTAAATACAACATGGGTATACAATACAGGTTTAGAACAGTTGTAAGCTGTAAATACAACTTGGGTATACAATACAGGTTTAGAACAGTTGTAAGCTGTAAATACAACTTGGGTATACAATACAGGTTTAGAATAGTTGTAAGCTGTAAATACAACGTGAGTATACAATACAGGTTTAGAATAGTTGTAAGCTGTAAATACAACTTGAGTATACAATACAGGTTTAGAATAGTTGTAAGCTGTAAATACAACTTGAGTATACAATACAGGTTTAGAACAGTTGTAAGCTGTAAATACAACTTGAGTATACAATACAGGTTTAGAACAGTTGTAAGCTGTAAATACAACTTGAGTATACAATACAGGTTTAGAACAGTTATAAGCTGTAAATACAACTTGAGTATACAATACAGGTTTAGAACAGTTGTAAGCTGTAAATACAACTTGAGTATACAATACAGGTTTAGAACAGTTGTAAGCTGTAAATACAACTTGAGTATACAATACAGGTTTAGAACAGTTATAAGCTGTAAATACAACTTGGGTATACAATACAGGTTTAGAATAGTTGTAAGCTGTAAATACAACTTGAGTATACAATACAGGTTTAGAATAGTTGTAAGCTGTAAATACAACTTGGGTATACAATACAGGTTTAGAACAGTTGTAAGCTGTAAATACAACTTGAGTATACAATACAGGTTTAGAACAGTTATAAGCTGTAAATACAACTTGAGTATACAATACAGGTTTAGAACAGTTGTAAGCTGTAAATACAACTTGAGTATACAATACAGGTTTAGAACAGTTATAAGCTGTAAATACAACTTGGGTATACAATACAGGTTTAGAACAGTTATAAGCTGTAAATACAACTTGGGTATACAATACAGGTTTAGAATAGTTGTAAGCTGTAAATACAACTTGAGTATACAATACAGGTTTAGAATAGTTGTAAGCTGTAAATACAACTTGGGTATACAATACAGGTTTAGAATAGTTGTAAGCTGTAAATACAACTTGAGTATACAATACAGGTTTAGAATAGTTGTAAGCTGTAAATACAACTTGGGTATACAATACAGGTTTAGAATAGTTGTAAGCTGTAAATACAACTTGGGTATACAATACAGGTTTAGAATAGTTGTAAGCTGTAAATACAACTTGAGTATACAATACAGGTTTAGAATAGTTGTAAGCTGTAAATACAACTTGGGTATACAATACAGGTTTAGAATAGTTGTAAGCTGTAAATACAACTTGAGTATACAATACAGGTTTAGAATAGTTGTAAGCTGTAAATACAACTTGGGTATACAATACAGGTTTAGAATAGTTGTAAGCTGTAAATACAACTTGGGTATACAATACAGGTTTAGAATAGTTGTAAGCTGTAAATACAACTTGAGTATACAATACAGGTTTAGAATAGTTGTAAGCTGTAAATACAACTTGAGTATACAATACAGGTTTAGAACAGTTGTAAGCTGTAAATACAACTTGAGTATACAATACAGGTTTAGAATAGTTGTAAGCTGTAAATACAACTTGAGTATACAATACAGGTTTAGAATAGTTGTAAGCTGTAAATACAACTTGAGTATACAATACAGGTTTAGAACAGTTGTAAGCTGTAAATACAACTTGAGTATACAATACAGGTTTAGAACAGTTGTAAGCTGTAAATACAACTTGAGTATACAATACAGGTTTAGAACAGTTATAAGCTGTAAATACAACTTGAGTATACAATACAGGTTTAGAACAGTTGTAAGCTGTAAATACAACTTGAGTATACAATACAGGTTTAGAACAGTTGTAAGCTGTAAATACAACTTGAGTATACAATACAGGTTTAGAACAGTTATAAGCTGTAAATACAACTTGGGTATACAATACAGGTTTAGAATAGTTGTAAGCTGTAAATACAACTTGAGTATACAATACAGGTTTAGAATAGTTGTAAGCTGTAAATACAACTTGGGTATACAATACAGGTTTAGAACAGTTGTAAGCTGTAAATACAACTTGAGTATACAATACAGGTTTAGAACAGTAATAAGCTGTAAATACAACTTGAGTATACAATACAGGTTTAGAACAGTTGTAAGCTGTAAATACAACTTGAGTATACAATACAGGTTTAGAACAGTTATAAGCTGTAAATACAACTTGGGTATACAATACAGGTTTAGAATAGTTGTAAGCTGTAAATACAACTTGGGTATACAATACAGGTTTAGAACAGTTGTAAGCTGTAAATACAACTTGAGTATACAATACAGGTTTAGAATAGTTGTAAGCTGTAAATACAACTTGGGTATACAATACAGGTTTAGAATAGTTGTAAGCTGTAAATACAACTTGAGTATACAATACAGGTTTAGAATAGTTGTAAGCTGTAAATACAACTTGGGTATACAATACAGGTTTAGAATAGTTGTAAGCTGTAAATACAACTTGGGTATACAATACAGGTTTAGAATAGTTGTAAGCTGTAAATACAACTTGAGTATACAATACAGGTTTAGAATAGTTGTAAGCTGTAAATACAACTTGGGTATACAATACAGGTTTAGAATAGTTGTAAGCTGTAAATACAACTTGGGTATACAATACAGGTTTAGAATAGTTGTAAGCTGTAAATACAACTTGAGTATACAATACAGGTTTAGAACAGTTGTAAGCTGTAAATACAACTTGGGTATACAATACAGGTTTAGAATAGTTGTAAGCTGTAAATACAACATGGGTATACAATACAGGTTTAGAATAGTTGTAAGCTGTAAATACAACTTGGGTATACAATACAGGTTTAGAACAGTTGTAAGCTGTAAATACAACTTGGGTATACAATACAGGTTTAGAACAGTTGTAAGCTGTAAATACAACTTGGGTATACAATACAGGTTTAGAATAGTTGTAAGCTGTAAATACAACGTGAGTATACAATACAGGTTTAGAACAGTTATAAGCTGTAAATACAACTTGAGTATACAATACAGGTTTAGAACAGTTATAAGCTGTAAATACAACTTGGGTATACAATACAGCTTTAGAACAGTTGTAAGCTGTAAATACAACTTGAGTATACAATACAGGTTTAGAACAGTTGTAAGCTGTAAATACAACTTGAGTATACAATACAGGTTTAGAACAGTTGTAAGCTGTAAATACAACTTGGGTATACAATACAGGTTTAGAATAGTTGTAAGCTGTAAATACAACATGGGTATACAATACAGGTTTAGAACAGTTGTAAGCTGTAAATACAACTTGGGTATACAATACAGGTTTAGAACAGTTGTAAGCTGTAAATACAACTTGGGTATACAATACAGGTTTAGAATAGTTGTAAGCTGTAAATACAACGTGAGTATACAATACAGGTTTAGAATAGTTGTAAGCTGTAAATACAACTTGAGTATACAATACAGGTTTAGAATAGTTGTAAGCTGTAAATACAACTTGAGTATACAATACAGGTTTAGAACAGTTGTAAGCTGTAAATACAACTTGAGTATACAATACAGGTTTAGAACAGTTGTAAGCTGTAAATACAACTTGAGTATACAATACAGGTTTAGAACAGTTATAAGCTGTAAATACAACTTGAGTATACAATACAGGTTTAGAACAGTTGTAAGCTGTAAATACAACTTGAGTATACAATACAGGTTTAGAATAGTTGTAAGCTGTAAATACAACTTGAGTATACAATACAGGTTTAGAATAGTTGTAAGCTGTAAATACAACTTGAGTATACAATACAGGTTTAGAACAGTTGTAAGCTGTAAATACAACTTGAGTATACAATACAGGTTTAGAATAGTTGTAAGCTGTAAATACAACTTGAGTATACAATACAGGTTTAGAACAGTTGTAAGCTGTAAATACAACTTGAGTATACAATACAGGTTTAGAATAGTTGTAAGCTGTAAGCTGTAAATACAACTTGGGTATAAAATACAGGTTTAGAACAATTACATGTCACAAAAGATCATGTCAAAAAAGTTCATGTCATAAAAGTTTATGTCACAAATGTTCATGTCACATAATTTCTTGTCACATTTTAAAATCCACATTTAGAAATTATATCATTAATAAAATGATCAATTACTTTTAATATTTCCTGATTTAATTTTGACTCATCGTTATGATAAACAGCAACTAGATATAGTATTTACTATTTAAATATTTGATAACCAATGTATTGTAAACTGTAACTTTTATTCAATACATCTGATTGAAAATATAAGGGAGTTAACCTCAGCTTAACTATGAAACGAAACAATTTTATGTTTGTTTCCCTTTGACCGTTAAATTTATCTTTAATTTCCTCACTTTGAAATTCCAAGGGGAGTAACCGATAAATAAACTAGAGGATGAAATAATAAATACAAAATCATAACATGACTATTTACCACTAATATCGTAAAGACTTACGTACAAATAAAAAAAAAAAACAATCACATCTACTCGTACATGCAGCACCATTATCTTATGAACTAAAGGTAAAAGATTAGCTCATCCTTTTAATAAAAGCAATTACTTTAAAAAAGTAAACATTGCTAATTTTTAATTTAACTATTTTTTATCGACATACAGCTGAATTTATTTATTTTTTATTGGTATAATTAACCATTTTTCGTAAGATCGTTAGAATATAATACGATCAAAATTAAATTCGCCTGGTATTGAATAAATATAAACTTGAGTTACACGTCCTACAAGAAACGTATGGATTAAACAACGACTAAAAAGTTTTAAGCGAGATAACCTCGACAAAATTATTGATTGAAGCAATTATATGGTTGTTCCCCTTTGACCACAAATTTTGAAATTTTTTTTTTGTCACAATTAAATTCAAAGAGAGATAACCATGATTAAAAGATTTAAAGTAAATAATTGTTTATCTCTTTTCGACCGCTTAGAACTGTTCGGATTTTATTTTCATCATAATCTTTTACTAAACACGTAGGCGTATAGCACCACAATAATTAAAAATATAAAAGAAAAAATCTAATAGTAATAGACCTATTTTTGACTTTCTATTAGTTGAGAAAATTTTTTATCTGAAGTTGAAGTCGACCAATAGTTGTTTGAACTTGTTACTAGCTGAATGTACGTTAAATGTGGATAGCTTAGGACTTTTCCACATTATTTTTTTTTCGAGGATTTGTTTTAAAACTCTAAGAGAAAACGAAAACTCAATTTGTAGATCAGTTATGTTAGTAAATGAAGTATTTTGGTTTCTCCAATAGGCCTAGTTTAATGAAATATAATACGGAGTCACTAAATAATGCATAACAATTTAGTATCAGTGGTCAACTTCTTCAATCACCAAACAAAATCTCCCATCAGTGCAGAAAATATCAGTTACTTCTAGACAACAAGACGGACACTAAGTCTACAGCTTAAGGTAACAAACCAGATGGACACAGACTTTTTTAACAAACCAGATGGACACAGACTTTTTTAACAAACCAGATGGACACAGCCACATAGACGCATTGAATTTTTTAAAATACTACCGCAAGTTAAATTGTTACAATTCTGGCTTGTACGTTTTGCGGCAGTTTTAAATTAATTTTTAACATGTGACTCATCACGTGATAACCTAGAGCCCGCAACAGTATGAGTATCGTCTGCAACAATATGAGTATCGTCTGCAACAATATGAGTATCGTCTGCAATAATATGGGTATCGTCCAACACAATATGAGTATCGTCTGCGACAATATGAGTATCGTCTGTAACAATATGAGTATCGTCTGCCACAATATGAGTATCGTGTGCAACATTATGAGTATCGTCTGTAACAATATGAGTATCGTCTGCAACAATATGAGTATCGTCTGTAACAATATGAGTATCGTCTGCCACAATATGAGTATCGTGTGCAACATTATGAGTATCGTCTGTAACAATATGAGTATCGTCTGCAACAATATGAGTATCGTCTGCAACAATATGAGTATCGCCTGCCACAATATGAGTATCGTCTGCGACAATATGAGTATCGTCTGTAACAATATGAGTATCGTCTGCAACAATATGAGTATCGTGTGCAACATTATGAGTATCGTCTGCAACAATATGAGTATCGTCTGTAACAATATGAGTATCGTGTGCAACATTATGAGTATCGTCTGCAACAATATGATTACCGTCTGCCACAGTATCAGTATCGACGACCACTCATTTAATAATATCTATATACATTCCACCAAACAGTAAAACAACCTAACGTCTGCCCAGCCACTGACCTAACGTCTGCCCAGCCACTGACCTAACGTCTGCCCAGCCACTGACCTAACGTCTGCCCAGCCACTGACCTAACGTCTGCCCAGCCACTGACCTAACGTCTGCCCAGCCACTGACCTAACGTCTGCCCAGCCACTGACCTAACGTCTGCCCAGCCACTGACCTAACGTCTGCCCAGCCACTGACCTATCGTCTGCCCAGCCACTGACCTATCGTCTGCCCAGCCACTGACCTATCGTCTGCCCAGCCACTGACCTATCGTCTGCCCAGCCACTGACCTATCGTCTGCCCAGCCACTGACCTATCGTCTGCCCAGCCACTGACCTATCGTCTGCCCAGCCACTGACCTATCGTCTGCCCAGCCACTGACCTATCGTCTGCCCAGCCACTGACCTATCGTCTGCCCAGCCACTGACCTATCGTCTGCCCAGCCACTGACCTATCGTCTGCCCAGCCACTGACCTATCGTCTGCCCAGCCACTGACCTATCGTCTGCCCAGCCACTGACCTATCGTCTGCCCAGCCACTGACCTATCGTCTGCCCAGCCACTGACCTATCGTCTGCCCAGCCACTGACCTGACATTGAAATCTGACATCTAGCGCCGCCTCTCTTGAAATACTCTCCAGTACCAAATCTCTAAGTCAGATCAGGGGGGGGGGGGAGTATACTTGACGTCATTCAGTCTACCCCCATTCTAAACGTAAGAAATTAAGGTGGAAGGGCTTTTGCTAACCACATTAACCCTTCAGATAAACACATGGACTCTACTTCATCTTCCTCGTAGAGCGGCTGGTTTAAAATAGTATCTTAACTCGCTCTGTTATGTAATCCATGTATTAAGTCCAATGTTCTTGTTTGTGTTAAACTTTCGCCCAATGTTCCTGTGTTAAAGGTTCGCCCAATGTTCCTGTGTTAAAGGTTCGCCCAATGTTCCTGATTGTGTTAAACGTTCGCCCAATGTTCGCCCAATGTTCCTGTGTTAAAGGTTCGCCCAATGTTCCTGTGTTAAATGTTCGCCCAATGTTCCTGTGTTAAAGGTTCGCCCAATGTTCCTGTGTTAAAGGTTCGCCCAATGTTCCTGATTGTGTTAAACGTTCGCCCAATGTTCGCCCAATGTTCCTGTGTTAAAGGTTCGCCCAATGTTCCTGTGTTAAAGGTTCGCCCAATGTTCCTGTGTTAAAGGTTCGCCCAATGTTCCTGTGTTAAAGGTTCGCCCAATGTTCCTGTGTTAAAGGTTCGCCCAATGTTCCTGTGTTAAAGGTTCGCCCAATGTTCCTGATTGTGTTAAACGTTCGCCCAATGTTCTCCCAATGTTCCTGTGTTAAAGGTTCGCCCAATGTTCCTGTGTTAAAGGTTCGCCCAATGTTCCTGTGTTAAAGGTTCGCCCAATGTTCCTGTGTTAAAGGTTCGCCCAATGTTCCTGTGTTAAAGGTTCGCCCAATGTTCCTGTGTTAAAGGTTCGCCCAATGTTCCTGTGTTAAATGTTCGCCCAATGTTCCTGTGTTAAAGGTTCGCCCAATGTTCCTGTGTTAAAGGTTCGCCCAATGTTCCTGTGTTAAATGTTCTCCCAATGTTCCTGTGTTAAAAGTTCGCCCAATGTTCCTGTGTTAAAGGTTCGCCCAATGTTCCTGTGTTAAAGGTTCGCCCAATGTTCCTGTGTTAAAGGTTCGCCCAATGTTCGCCCAATGTTCCTGTGTTAAAGGTTCGCCCAATGTTCCTGTGTTAAAGGTTCGCCCAATGTTCCTGTGTTAAAGGTTCGCCCAATGTTCCAGTGTTAAAGGTTCGCCCAATGTTCCTGTGTTAAAGGTTCGCCCAATGTTCCTGTGTTAAAGGTTCGCCCAATGTTCCTGTGTTAAAGGTTCGCCTAATGTTCCTGTGTTAAAGGTTCGCCCAATGTTCGCCCAATGTTCCTGTGTTAAAGGTTCGCCCAATGTTCCTGTGTTAAAGGTTCGCCCAATGTTCCTGTGTTAAAGGTTCGCCCAATGTTCCAGTGTTAAAGGTTCGCCCAATGTTCCTGTGTTAAAGGTTCGCCCAATGTTCCCGTGTTAAAGGTTCGCCCAATGTTCCTGTGTTAAACGTTCGCCCAATGTTCCTGTGTTAAAGGTTCGCCCAATGTTCCTGATTGTGTTAAACGTTCGCCCAATGTTCCTGTGTTAAACGTTCGCCCAATGTTCCTGTGTTAAAGGTTCGCCCAATGTTCCTGATTGTGTTAAACGTTCGCCCAATGTTCCTGTGTTAAAGGTTCGCCCAATGTTCCTGATTGTGTTAAACGTTCGCCCAATGTTCCTGTGTTAAAGGTTCGCCCAATGTTCCTGATTGTGTTAAACGTTCGCCCAATGTTCGCCCAATGTTCCTGTGTTAAAGGTTCGCCCAATGTTCCTGATTGTGTTAAACGTTCGCCCAATGTTCCTGTGTTAAAGGTTCGCCCAATGTTCCTGATTGTGTTAAAAGGTCGTCCAATGTTCCTGTGTTAAAGGTTCGCCCAATGTTCCTGATTGTGTTAAAGGTTCGTCCAATGTGCCTGTGTTAAAGGTTCGCCCAATGTTCCTGTGTTAAAGGTTCGCCCAGTATTGCCAATACTTATTACCCTTCCAACGGATAGAACTTTCTGGACACTATGGTTGGAGACATCCCATAACAGGTCGCTCTGTAACACACGCCTTAAACTTCACACACACACACACTTTATCTTCTTGGAAGCTGTAGCAGCATATACCCGAAAATGTTTGGCTTAAAAAATTGTATACTTAAAAAAAAGCGATATACAATGTATAGTTATATTCATATATGTATATATATATATATATATATATATATATATATATATATATAATATATATATATATATATATATGCCTATATAGATGTGTGTGTGTGTGTGCGTATGGTTACATATATATACTCGCAATTTCTATAGTCGAGGAGGCGGCGAGGCACCTTGAGTTACTGTACCGAATGACACCTGACCTTGAGACATCTGACCCCAGTGACGCAACTGACCCACATGTTACTGTGTTAGTACCAAGTGACACACCAAAAACGTAAACAAAAAAACATTTTTTTGGATCTTTTATTGTATTAATAATAACAAAGCATAGTTACGCATGTTTGTACAGCACACGAAGAGAGTTGAAAGAATGACGCTAACATGTTGACAACACAGAGAAACGAATGAGATTATACTTCTCTACACATTTTTATCAAATTATTTCCGCTGACAATTTTTATTTCGCCCAACTTCGTAACTATAAAAAGAAGATTTAAAAAAAAAACATAGCTAAGGGTCAAGGTCAAAAGCCTATTAATTTAAAAATAAAACGTCGTCTGCTAAAGCCTAGACCTAGAGTCTAGATCTAGGAATATTTTGTTGTTAACTGTAATCACCCTAAATTCTCATTCCGTGTTGAGAATAACGTCCACTCGTACACCCTAGCCCAAGAGAAATCTCACAAAAATAATTGACGCAGAAGTTAACTACTTTAATGCAATTATCGAGGGCTGGTTGGTACACAACACACCTTTTACAGTTTACAGGTAAGAAAAATATTTTTCGGTTTCAGTATTTTGATGGGTTCAGTATTTCATATTTTTATAGAGGGTTGACTGAACAATAAACATTTTGCTTTGATCTATCCTGTACTTATGAAGTGACTTGATCTAGACTAAATCTAGGCTTATTCTAATCTAACTTAGACATTGTGACAAATGGTGATGGATTTGATGGGAGGACTGTTGAAATTTGTTAGAGATTGTAGAAAATCACCTTTACCAGCTCAAATTTGGAAATTTTAATTTTACTTCATTACTGACTGTGATTGATAAATTAATTAAACACCTTCATTAAATTTTTGGTTAAATCAACAATGTGAATCAGAACATTTAGGGAATTTTTTGAGCTCATTTAAAATCTGTAGAGTATACAATTTTGTGTACATTTATTTGTGCAACCCACTATTGTTAATTATTTAGCATATAGATAGTCATATAGTAAAGTATTACAATTAAAAATGGTTTCCAACAACTTTAGCATACTTTTCTCACAGCTAATCTGCCATTTTAGTTATAAACAATTCAATGGTACACAAAATTTAATAAAACAATAAAAATAAAATTGCAAATACAAATATGTAGTTACACACCTACTATAAAAAAAAAATCTTATAAAAATCATAGATCACAAACATCCATTGACAATCGGGAAGAAGAAATTCTTTTTTCAAACAAAACATCATATTTAATTAAAGAAATAAACCAACAAAAGCACCGACTGATATCATATACAAAGCACTGTACAAAGTGTAGAGGACTGGATGAGAATGGTCAATTCAAAAATGAAATTTAATCAGAACTTATTTCAAAAATGCACTTTTGTAAGTTAAACATTTTGCAATGAAAAAATAGCTGAAACAATTAGAGGGCAAAACAACATAACAAACAGGCTGAGACCAAACTAAACCAAACTAATTCTGTAAGCACATGATTATCATTCTCATTCTCTTTAAAATGGTGTATGATTTTAATTTCCTGACTATTTTTTCTATCCTTTTGTATTTATAAACTTTATTAGATATATTTGTGAAAAGATTTTTGTTTTTAAATTTAGTATTCAGACGTGCAACAATCTAAAAGTTTAATGAGACCATTACATCAGCCTGTGGCACTAGAGATTTTCTCTACTGTAGAAAGAAAATTACCAAAAGTCATAGACTTCTGCTACAGCAAGCTCTTGAATTTGAACTCCATGAATTGAGATGACATGCTACAGTTGCTACCAATAGTTGTATTGTTTTTGAAACTTTGAACTGGCTTATGTCCCTTTCCAATCATTTCTGCTTTACCCTCTATTTTGCTCAAATCAAATTTTAAAAATAATTTTAAAAATGTTTTTCAATCTAAAGAACATTTTTATAAAGAAAGTAGTAACTGAATGAGAATATTACCATAATTAAATCTAAACAAGAGACTATTTAA